TAATTTCTATACTACTATTAATGTCTGATAATTTCTTTTTATGTTGTTTAATACCTTACTATGTGTTGTATATTGTGGGTAAGTTTCATAAAATTCCATGTGTAATTTCTTGAGTTATCGCGATTTTTGTGAATTTTCCTTAATTTATGATAACCAGTGTAGTTAGTGGTGTCAACATCTAGTTGTGATTTTTATGCATTTTTTTTTTTTAATCACAGCAAAAACAATATCATCCTTCTCACTGATGCAAATAAACATATTAGCAAAGCTTGTATAAATAAAATAAAAAAACATATTTTTTTAAAAATGCATTAATTTTTTTTATTAGTGGTACACAGCATTACGAAAAATTAAGAAAGGGTTCACAAAAGTCATAAGTTTGGGAAACACTGATCTAGATCTGCGGTTCCCAAACTTTTTCGACCCATGGACCCCTTTTTATAGTCAAAACTTGCCCACCGACCCCCAAGTGAAAAACTGCATATATTGTGCAGTATAAAAATTGCAAATTTTTTTTTGAAAAAAGCAAAAAAACAATTTTGTTGAAGAACAATTTATTGAAATTATATCTTTTGTTTTAAATAAAATAAAAAAAATTAATGACTTGGATGAACGTGATGGGATTTTAAGAGTGTATTTATGTCCGGCTCAATGTTTGTGAGCACTAATTTCTAATCATTTATTTATTATTATTTATTTTTGTGATGAGGTTCATTACGGCACTGAAATTGAGAGAACAATGACCTCTTCCCAAGTTTTGTTTATACAGAAAAAGTTTTGCAACAAAGGCAGTTTTGCGATTTTAGTTTTGATTAAATTTAATTGTTCATCTTGTAGTTTCAAATTAGTTTCGTTAAGTTTGGCAAATGTACTGAAAATACATTCGCTGCAGCTTGTTTTAAGCTAGCCAGAAAACCTCGGTATCTTCCTACCATTGCCGGAGCATCGTCAGTAGCTACAGAAATTATATTAGTCAAGGGTATAGCTTTTAATTCAGTCAATGGCGTTTCACCTTTCGTATCGCTTTCCAAACATTTAGCAAATGACTATTCTTGGTAAAATTTTTATTCTTTTACAAATCTTACATAAGCTAAAAGTAAAAGCTTCGTTTCCTGGATAAGAGGACTCGTCAAGATGTAAAGAAAATTCTGATATTTTTAAGTACTCACATAAAGAATTTTCTAGGCACTGAGATATTTTGTCAATCCTTCTTTGTACATTATTATTACTCCGTGGAATTCTTTTTACAATGTTTAAAGCTGGTTTGTGCAACCCGGTGACTATTATCTCACTTACAGCTAGTAAAATAAGTCCTTCAATAGTGTGAGGCTTGCAATCATGTAATATATAGAAACATGCGATATTATGAGAAACATGCAATCCATCGTCACCTCGCTTAGATGTTGTCCCTATAAGTTGTTGCAGTGACGGTGTTTTCAGATATTTTTCTTTGACTGTTTGAAAAATAGTTAAATCTTTATCTTTTTTGTCACTATGGATTTTTATCAATTGTTCGTAAAGCTTGGAATGTTTCATTGAATCACTTGTTATAGTTTTATTACATAGAAGACACATAGGTTAAGTACTATTTCCTGGTGAAGAAATAAAGACATACTTCAAATATTCAACACTGTATTTTTCTTCGTTTTTTCTTCGACTCATTCATACTGATATATTTTAAAAAGGGAACAAAAGATATAAGAAAATTTGTAAATCAACTGTTTAATTTGTAACAAACCACTGTTAATAATTATAAGCACCCACCTTTATTTATAGTTCACTTAGGGCGTAAAAATGTCTACTATTTTATTTATCTTAATTTCCATAATAATAAAAACCAATCACAATTTTATTATTTTATATTAAACCTCACGCGGACCCCCTGACGTTGTTCAGAGACCCCTAAATCAGTTTTTATTTTTCACGGACCCCCGGAATGGTACCACGGACCCCTGGGGGTCCATATGGACTAATTTGGGAAACACTGCAGATGATGATGCCCCAAGATGGCAGATAGTTGGGAGACTCAAAGCGGGCCAATCAAAGGATACCTGTCATAAGGATCTTTGAGTTTCGAGAAATGTGGGGTCCTCTCTGTGGAAACAATTCACAGAGACAGGAACAGCGACACAGCTATCTCTAGACTTGTATAATGAAAGAGAAAAATCTCCTTGAACCACAAAAAGGACCGCTTAGCATGGTACTGAGAGCAGCTGTCTTGGGCTGATGTCGTTTGGATAGCAACTCGAGGCATATTCTCATCTGGAATCTGGCCGTATATATCGGCCCTCGAGCATTGTTGCAGGTCCACTACGGTCGTGGGGGTTTCGGAGGCATCATGAGATAGGGATAAACAGGCTTCTTATGTTCGATAGAGATATTCTGACAGGTCAGTGGTACAATGAAGATATCCTTGAACTCTATGTGGGACTATTACGCGGAGCATATGGACTAATAACTGCCCACATATGGCTCGGTTGGGGGACAAATACCTCCAATTGGAGGATATACAGCGATTAGAGTGGCCTGTGATGTCCCCTGACCTTAATATCATGAAACACATATGAGACGTTCAATTGCAGCTCGAAGACTAGCTTCAGCGACCATTGATAAGCTCAAAAGTGGGGACTGATAAGGAACCTACCTGGTAAACAGTATGAAATGCCAATGTGAGAGTTGTGTAAGTGTTAGAGGTGATCATACATCCTATTAGACTTTGTTTTTCTCTGACTGACAGTCAGCTACTGTGCTAGGCAAATGACCAGTTTTCTTACTTAGGGTACAGGTTGTGACCATTTGTGTTTTTCCATATATTGGGCCTTATATCAGAGGATTTAGCCAGGTTTGGTTTTATTTGCTTCAACAGATTTTTATTACAAAAAAATCCCCTTTTTATTGTTTTTGCCAGTGTAGTTTAAACAAATATATAAGACCTGATAATAGTGTAGTGAAGATTTTAGGCATTAATTAACAAAGTCACACTAACTTTGCTTACCTTAATTTTTATTATATAACCACTTTAAATATTTTAAAAATCTGCAATTCTTTGGGTTTATAAAAATCAATTTATAACTGAAATATATTCCAATTCTGCAGAAAAGAAGAAAAAAACTTTTATTGACAAGTCACTTTTAGAAGTATAATTTTTCATAATTATTTAACCGAAAAAATATTTTCTTAAAATTAAATAATTAAATTGAAATTAGTTTATTTTATAAAGTAGTTTGGCAAATTAATATTGAAAGTCAGCTGAGAGGCATTCATAGAATTTCAGATGTTTGCATTTCACAACAGGTATAGAGCATTGAAATTGGCTGCGGTCAGTGTGCAGGTGGGTGACCACCTGGATTAGTTTGCGTAGGGACTGAGGGTGTGCGGTATGGGTCCTTGTTAAACTGTTTTGCCGTAAAGTGCTCGACGTCGCGTGCTGGTCATCGCGCTACCGAAGCGGGGTGCCATCCCCTCTGCAGAGGATAAAAATTGTGATGGCATGTCTTCGGATCATCCTCGGGGATGTATCCCAGATCGTCGCTAATAGCCCGTTGTGCTGCTCTAGTGCGACGTAACTACAACAACAGAGCGTTAAAAAATTCCATATGTATAATCTATATTTTGAACTTTCTTAAGAAAAACTCTGAAAATCTCAAGAAATAATTGAGTTTCAGAATTATACCGTTGGAAAAATAGTGTGAAGAATATTTTACAAGTAATGAATTAACTCACATCTTTATCATCGTAAGCTTACTCAGGATGTTATCAGTTGGTAATAACGAATGGGTGACAAACACCAATCATTTGTTATTACCTCTGTTATTGTACTATTTAGTAAAAGATGTATGCAAACTTTACCTTAACCAGACTAGTTCAAAATGATAATTCACAAAAGAAAATTCTGCTAACTTGAATTTATTTCCTCTTTTGAATTTTTCCAGGAACTGGGGTAATAATATTGACAGCCACTTCGTGACCACACTAGTCGCCAGGTGTGTCATCATTCATTGATTAAAGAAAGGCAGATTAAAATATGTACCTCATTCATAACATATTGTTAGAAATGATGAATAAAAATAGGTGCAATTGAAGCAAAAATTAAAAAGTTACTTTTCCATCGATTTTTAATTCACTACTAAAAAATATGGCTCTTTGTCTTGCAACTACTTATGATAGTGTAACACAGTTTTGCTAGTCTGAGGTCATAATTTAAATGATTTTTAGTCTACACCTGACACTCTCCGTAATATTTGTCAGATTTTCAGTTGTTTTTATAAGAAATATTATTCGTATTTATTTATAAGAGTTTATGAGTAATAATAATTAATACCAGAAAGCTTGTGACGGAATTTTTTTTTTTTTTAGTGCCACTAAAATGTTTGTACTAAAAACCTTTTTTCAATGAAGCAGAAATAGTGCAGTTTCAAACCTTTCATACTAAAAGGATTAAAAATTATTTTTTAAAGCTTTTTTTTTGTAAAGTAGTGTCACTTAGGTCCATCATGACGTTTTAGGTGACGTCACAGTAGCGATAACAAATTACATTGCTCATTAAAATTTCGTGACAAGGTGGATATTTGCTGAGTATACAAGACTTTGCGAAAAGAAACCTTGTAATGACCTAGATTTAATATTATTTTCACCTTGAGACTAGCTTTAGCAAAGATTTTTTTTTTCACGCTTGAAAACCCAAAGTCAACCTCGCTTTAAGGTTTTTTTATTAGGGTAATGTGAGTAGAATAGAGCAGACTGTCACAGATCTCGTTTTAAGGTTAGAAGGTTTACACGTAAACCTCATTACAAACCCTTTTAGGTTTACATTAAAAAGTTTTTGCTTACTGAAAATAAGCTTTATTTTGCTATCTGGGATGTGTGTGTTTTTTAAGTCACTACCAATCATTATTTTCAATCTACTTTTGAATGAGGTTTGCTCTAGAGATTGCTTTTCAAACGAAGAGAGATATGTTTCTTGATCCTTGAAAATGTTATTATTTTTTCTTTCATTTCAGGTCTTTGGACATTCTAAGAAGTGATGTTTGGGCGGCTCCGATGTCGGTATTTCTTTCTATCCAGGCGCTACCTATTTGTAACTGCATTTGTAGTTGTGATTTTTCTTTTGTATCAGTTCATGTCAGTGAAGCAATTGAGTTATGAACTTTCTAAGAGAAAACCCAGGCTTCAAAAAAATTTTAGAAGTTATGAAAAAGCAGAAGCTCCCATCCAGAGAGAAATAATCCCCATTGAAGAAAAACAGACTGCTGCAATTCAAGCTAAAAGAGTAAAATTTGTGCGAGGTGTTTTGCCAGAAAAACAGAAATTCTATCAGCCTTCCAATAAGAATACTTTTGTGTGCTTAAATAGCAGAGAGGAAATCAGTTTCTCTTTTGTGAACGATAACTTTTGTGACTGCTCAGATTTTAGTGATGAGCCTAGTACATCAGCATGTAACTATGGAAGGTATGTATCGCTCAAGATGATCTAAAATTTCATACATTTAAAGATTTCTTAGCTTAATAATCATAAACAGCTGCGATAGCTCAGGGGATAGAGCGTTCGCCTTCCAATGCGGCGAACCGGATTCGAATCCCAGTCGATACGAATTCCGCATCCGGCTTGCATCGACCACAGTGCTGACGTGAAATATCCTCAGTGGTAGGTGGATCAGGGGTTAGAGTCCCCTTGTTAACCGTAGGAGGTTTTCCTCTCCATGTAACGCAAATGCGGGTTAGTTCCATCAAAAAGTTCTCCACGAAGGCAAATTTCTCCCAATACTCGATCCAGGAGTTACCTTGTCTTCTGGATTGGGTTCAAAATGACAAGGCTACGGAGTTGAACATTAGTTGTCGTAAACCCATAAAATTGGGTCGGCTGTTCAACGACGATTATAAAATGAAATGAAATAAAATCATAAATCTTTTCAACATTAAATCAATATTTAAATCATATGGCATCACTTAACGATTAGTTAAAATTTTATAGTATCACTTCATGATTTTTGGTCTATTTATTTCTCAATTTAGTATAAAAAGTATAATACAGCTTGTAACGTCATTTTAAACTTATTTGGGATTTTTTTTAATCGTAAAACTTATTTGTGCTAAATATAGTAAACAAATGTGTTAATTGTTTCATTTCTTCATTCTTATTTGGTGTGTTTGCATCACTGTCAATTTTTTTAGTTTTTCGATTTAAAAAATTTTCTTACAATGTGCAGCCATATTCCTATCAGAATTAAAGAACATTATTTTGGCATCATATATATACAGGATCTTTTCCTAAAAATAAAAGCTGATTGAAAAAAAAACATATGCCGCGTATGGATAGTAAAAAAAATTTTTTTACAAACTTGAATTGATGTTTTAATGCCTTTTATACTCAAGGGTTCAAATAGATGTTTTTTTTTTTTATCCTATCTGATTAAAAACTTAATAAAATGTAATGTATAGCAAAATGGTTTTTGAAGAAGGAAAGAATGTATGTGAAGATTCATTATCAAATGTCTTCAAAGAGTAAATTAATTGTAATTTATTATAATATCAAAAAATATTTTACGCCAACTGCTCTGAATATTAGCATAAAAATGTAAAAAGAATTTTTACATTTTGTTTTTATTATTTAATGAAACCAATAAATGTTATTGCAAAAAAAAAAAGTACATACATATTTAGGCATTGTGCATTTTAATTCAAATTCCTCCTCCCTAAAAAAATAGTAAAATAATGCCCATTCTCTAATTTTTATTAGAAAAATTATGAATTGCAAACTGTCATTTCAACTGTAAACCTCGCTTTAACTATTTTAAATGGAGTAAAATAATGTTAGAATAATTAGTATAATGTGTTTCTTATTTGAATAGTAAATGTGATAAAAAAAAAATTGTGAAGCACATTTGTGTACTTTAATTCCATAACCTTTGAAAAAATTTAAAAATTTGAAGTTCCAATACAATAATGTTGATATTCTTATAGCATTAACATCTATGCTAATGTTAATACTACGGAAATGTTTGAAGCTCTAAAACTGATTTTGAATTGCAGAAATTTAGGTTTGATATCCACCAGCATTTTAAATTTTCTATCGTTAAACTTCACCATTTATACACTAATTGACAGTTAGATAAACAAATAAGCACATTCATAGCTGCAAACTCCACTGGATTTTCCAATAGACTACTAGATTTTACCAGTTTCTCCTTTACTGGTTTAATAAAAGTTCTCCTGGTTTTTGAACATTTTAGAAAATTCCCTAAAATTGAGTAAGTTTTTTTAAAAAAAAAAATCCCTATTGAAATAGAATTTTTGTGCAGATTATTGCTTGCTTAAATATTTAAGTAAGTGCCACTAAAGATAAGGAAGCGAGCCTCATTTATCTCTATCTTCAATGAGTCCCGCAGTGACACGGATCCCAGCAGATCACCGAAGTCAAGCATCACTGGCTGCGGTCAGTGTGCGGGTGGGTGACCACTTGGATCACTCTGCATAGGGGCCGAGGGTGTGTAGCATTGGTCCTCGTTTAACTGTTCTACCGTAAAGTGCTCGACCTCGCGTGCAGGTCATCGGGCTACTGAAGCAGGGGTGCCATCCCCTCTGCATAGGATCAAAATTGTGATAGCATGCCTTTGGATCATCCTCAGGGATGCTTCCCAGACCGTCGCCAATAGCTCATTGTGCAGCCCTAGTGCCACGTAAATGAACTACTACTATCTTTGATGAATTAAATGCCTATTAAATTTCAGAATTATGAATAAACATAATACATAACATTTCAAGATCATTTCATGCGAAATCATTACTGGAAAACATTGCAGTTTTCCTATTTTGATGACTACAAAAATCCCTAAAATAAAATGTATAAAATATTGAGTATATTTTGTAACAATTATCGTGAAATTTATATTGTTTTTTAAAATCTACCGGATTATTTCCTATCCGTGTTGGCAGCTATGCACATAATTTTTTTAGATGTAGTCAATGAGGATGCGTTTTTTTTAAATTATTAAAATGCAATGTAGAATTTGACTAAAAATAAATGTTTAAGTTGAAAAAAAAACATTCCTATTTAAAAAAAAAAATAAATTTCTTCATGTTCCTTCAATAAAAAGAACTGATTTCATATATACCAAACTGACGAGAATATTCTTTTTAGATTTTATTGCAATCACCAATCCAATCGTCTGTCATCTGTAGTATCTTATAAAGTAAACGATGGAGTGTGTGATTGTTGTGATGGCAGTGACGAATGGGAGCAGAATTTCATTCCTCCACACGTGACTCTGCAAAGTAATTCTTGAAAATTATATTTGTTTTCCTCCTTTCTTGTAATGAGTTGAAATTGCATTTTCTTTTTGTAAATAGTTTCTCAATATTTATTTTTTGATTAAAGCAATTTATTTAAATAATTTTACTTTTAAAATTATACATGTGTGTACAGTACTCACAATGGACTCTTGGTACATTACCACTCAATTTGACTTGATCCCTCATAAAATAATGATCACTAGTTGCTGGTGTGGGAGGACCAATAACTTAGTGAAATCTTTCAAAAAAAATAAGCACTTTTTAAGCACTCAAAAAGTATTTTTAAGCACTATATACATTAACAAAATGCAAAATAATTTTGAAAGACTTGACATGATCATGATAAAATAACTAGCTTCTGACAACGTACTATTTTTCTTGATTATATTAGCCACCATAAAAAGGGGGTGGAAAATGAAGCCTGAAATTGGGAATATCTTGCAAAATGCAGCAGGGTTGCACATGAGAGTGCAATAATCTCATTGATCCCAGCTCAGTAGAACCTTAAGCGAATTGGCGCTTTCATATGCTATGGTCCTACGGTGCGCCAAAATAGCCAGTGGCTGAATGAATTCTGGAAACGTTGAATAGAACAATTGGAAAAGCACGCTTTCGGATAATACGTGTCGAAAATAGACATGGCAAAGTAATCTCATTTTTGAAAAGGAAAAATTTAGCACTTTTTAAAAGCACTTGATGAAAAAAGCACCTTTAAGGGCTTTTAAAAATCGAAAATAAGCACCTTTAAGCATTTTTCAAAAACGCTATGCACCATGCAACTAGTGATTACATGCTCAAGATATGACACATTGAATCCTTCCTCATTGTGTTGATGTTTAAATAAAATGTACCTTTTGAGAATTTTTTTATTCTTTTTCAAATAATGTATGCATTTCATTTTGTATTTTTTAGAATTTTTATACATTTATTACAATTGTGATTTTCTATTCCAGGAAGTCATCAAAAGGGATTGTTCCAAGCACCTTGTCCCGATCATTGCTTATCTTAAAGTTTTTTAATGGATTGCAATGTTTTTTGTTCCTTGTTACTATAAATATTATCTGTTTTGTTAACCTATTGAAAGAATTTTTTGTTTATGCTGTGTTCTTTCTCATGACTGCAGAAGATCTTCATAGCTTTGCATTATAGGGCAAAATTAGGAAATTTCTCTACTGCCCAGTTGTAGTATTTTTGACAGTGGAAAAAGTGGCCCTATGTTATATAAAGTGGTCACTTAATAAAACATGGGGCCACTTTTAAACGATTAAAAAAAAAATACTGTTATAAATAATATAAGGCATTTCTTATGAAGCATTTCTAAAAATTTGTTAAACATTATAGTGATAATTTCTATAATGAAAAATTCTTAAGAAACAAGCGTGGAAAAAAGTAAATTTCAGATTATAAAATATTCATAATACCACGAATATTAATAATGATAATAAAATGCACACGGTCTGTATTTTCGAAGAAAAAAATGAATGGCGACTGGTGTATAATTTTTTAATCGCCACTTGTTATATTTTGTTGCCCTGTGGCTTGTAGCGTATAATTTTACCCTGTACTTTGCATCGTATGGAATTTTGTGTTTTATACACTATATGGCCAAAAGTATCCGGACACCTGGTTGTTAGGGTGGTGGAAGCATAAAGGTATGGGGGTGTTTCTCGTGATTTGGTCTGGGTATGCTGGTTTTTGTGGTTGGAAACATAAACTCTGAGATGTAATTGAACAATGCTGCACCCCCTACTATACAACAATATTTCGGGCCTATTCCTCTTCCATCCACACATCAAGGCTTGCACAGATGTGGTTTAATGAAATGGGTGTTCAAATACTGGACTGGCTTTCTCCGATCTTAATCCCATAGAACCACCTTTGCATATCTGCCAAGTCTCCTTTTTTTAAACAAAGACTCCTGTATTTTACAATTATCTCCTATTTACCCATATATCCTGAAATATCTCCGTATTTATTGAAGAAATTTATTTAAAAAAATTTTAGTGATAAAATATCCGCTGATGGCAAAAATACTTCTCTTATTCCTCAACAGATAGTACTATTGCCAGTACTGCAGTATGTTGAGTGTTAATAGTTTAAGTAAAAATGTCCTAAGTAGTAGACGACCCTGTAGCAAAAATTTTTCAAGCTACCAGCGACTAAACTCCTGTGCACTAATATATCTTTCTGCAAGATACTTTTAATAATAACAAACATATATGTTACTCATTTAAAATAACAAAAGTTATATGTTTCCAAAAAAAATTATAGTTTTTTTTAATTGAACGTGTAATAATTTTTTATTCTAATATTATGGGTGCATTCTCTCGCATTTTTTTTGGGGGGGGGGACGCAGTAATTATTTCCTTCGTCACATTTTGCAAATAATAATCAGAAGAAAAAAATTTAAATCGTGAAGTCTGTCGCCGAAAAAAAAAGATTGATGACGAAATCACGCGAAACAGGCTTAGTTGTAATAAATAATATCGGATTTAAAATCTACAGAGAAATTAATAGCAATAACTTCTAAAAAATTCGATAGAATCATTCCCATAAAAAGTAAATACTCAAATGCATGATTCGAATTTTCCATAGTGTTAAAAATATATTGAGATATTTAAAAATCCCGTGAAAATCAATATCAATAACTGCCGGAAATACAATCGAAACATTACATCGCTTTACGATACTATCGTCAATTGAGAGCGTTCGAAAGTGATCATCTAAATGTATGATTAAAATATTACGTGTTAATTTCTATGCAAAAGAAAAGTCTTCCTGCAAGAACTCTGTAACGTTCTTTGTCGATGTCGTCATGCGGCTACGATTCAGCCACGGGGCTCACTGCAAGCTGTGATGGAAGTCCTATTCAAAAACAGGTGTAAAGTCAGAATGCTGTCATCGATATAAAAGCGGCGAACAACATCATACTAATATTTGCCTCTGAATCCATACCACTCAGTATCCCCATACTTTTGGCAAGATAGTGTAGATTCTAACATATCAACTCACATGGCAATATATATATCTGGATCAGAATAATATTTATGATTTTAAAATAATTGAATACAAATACTTAAAATCCCAAAATATATTCACTCAAATATTGAAAAAAAAATTCAAATTGTTCTGAGCAATAGAAATAAAATCAATAATAACAAATTTATCAATTTTGGTGTGTTTAAAGGGTTGATTAAAAGGGTTGATGAAAAATTGTGATTTATAGAAGTGCATTGTATAGAATATTTTACTGCTGTGCCTTATATTTTATAAAAGCGAGATAGTTACGAACGGTCCTTGAAAGTGCACATTATGGTGTAATGAAAGAAAAATTGATTTAACCTAAGGAAAAGTTCAAAAAAAAAATTATAAAATACAATGAAATCAGTCAAATAATATGCAATAAATCAAATTATATACATTTCCAGATTGCTAATACTTCCTCTGTTTGTGACTTAATAGAAATTTAATCCATTGCGTAGCATCACTTCAAAAAAAATTTAAGAATAAAAATATGTATAAAAAAAATTGAAATATTACCAAAATTCAAAAATAACATATTGTACTGAAGCAAGTAATAGGTTAGGGAAACAAAGAAGCAGAATTCTTTCATGTCCCAAGATATATTATTGAACATTCAAAAGGAACTTACACATTAGGTGTAAGTTCATAGGGAGAACACCTCCGTTAAATAGTCATGACCCGTTCATATTTTTAAGTTGGAAACGGCTTTTTTATGTTCTTTGTCATGCTATTTTTTTGCTTTTGGATTTCAGAGATTTCTCTTTAATTTTGGGTAAAATGTCTCATATTTCTCTGATATTTAACAAACTGATGGAGCACATTAAAAATTTCCCTATTCAAGAAAAATTTTAAACTCCTGTATCTATTCTGTTAGTTCATGTTTCTATCCTGTACACGATTTACCAAACCATCATCGTTTCAAGTTCCGATCTCTTGTTTGGCAATTTCTTTTTAGGTGTGGATTAGATTCTTGGCTTTGCAGCAATGAAGGGTAGAGGTTTTTTCTTCTTAAAAGACAATTTTTTTTCTCTTCCAAAAGAGGGGGGGGGAACTTGATTTATTGTTGTTTGTTGTATAAATTGTAAATCAATATTTTCACCTTTCCAATTATTTTTATTATTCATTTTATTTGATGGTACATTAAGAATATCAAGGTTTTATAAATAACTATATAAAAACAGTATTTTTTTGTATTGCACAACAATAAAATTTATTCAGGAATTGAAAAGATATATAACTGAGTAATTAAGTTCTGAAAATTAAAATGTTCCTAAACAATAGCTTACTAATTAATGAAGCATATAAACAATTTTCTACTTCAATTAAAAAGTCTCAATCAGTACCAGTTAAATGCATACAAGGCAGTGGCACTTGACCTTGAAAAACATTGATAAAAGGCATGCCGGGCAATGACACTTAAGTAGACCTAGTATATATTTCGGACATCTACCAAAGCGACTCTACGATTGTCGACATTCTACAGTGGAAGTCGACAACCACCCATTTTGGTCAGTCACGGTAACATTTTCATCAAAATATGAGCGTCTCATGTTTCCCAAAAAACACCACTTGAAAAATGTATACAATAATTTAAAAGGAATGTTATTAAGTGCTCAAATGCCAGGAAGCGCTATCATAAGGGTAAACAGTTTTCATATTATTTATAGCTTTTTACTGAGCATTATTCGTTTGAAACTTGTTTCACACCAATATATGGACTTTATATTTTCAAAATTTATGTTTTATTATTTTTTTGAGCTGTGTTGTTGGTCTGAGACTTGATTCATTTTTAAATCTGAGTTATATATTTTCCAAAAATATTTATATATGTATGAAAAATTGATAAACAAATTTAAACCAAAAAAAACTATTTAGTCCATAACTCACTAAGTAGCTGAAGATTCAGGACCAGATTTACCATTAAGCAAACTAAGCATGTGCGTAGGGCACCTGAGAGAATTGTTGCACCACAAAGCACCAATGAGAAAGAAGAAAAAAAATTTCCATAAATATTTTTTTACACATTTTAATTTGATCATAAGTTCTTACACACGTTCATGGTATAAAGTAAATTGATATTACGTTATTTAAATCCCACAAAAACAAAAGTTGTGTGTTATCCCATCACAGAATCCAAGAAAACCTTGTGACGGAATTTTCTTTTTATTGTCACAAAAATGTTTGCACTAAAAACATTTTATCAACTAAACAAAAATATTGCATTTTCAAACCTTTCATCCTAAGGATAAAAAATAATTTTTAAAGTTTTTTAAGAAATATGGTTACTTTGGTTAATAAGTATTTTGGGTCATCCTACACCTATAACATATATGTTATCTCTTTCTAGATTTTAAAAGTCAAATAAATGTGCAAAAATACTTTTTAGTGAGCATTGCAGTAAATTTTTATAACTTAGTTGTGTTTATGACTAATTTTTATAACTTGTTAGTCGTGTGAATTAATCTTAATAGTTTTCAGGTGAATAAGTAAAACCAATCAGAGGTCTACCCACAAACTAAGTACATTGATTGTTTGGTCACATTTATCCTATAAAATTTAATGTAAAATAATGTGCGTGCAAAGATGTCTCACATAAAGTTATATCTCCCTGTCATAACTATTAAGTTGTAGTTGCCAGAAATGTTTTAATTCAAACTTTTAAAATAAGTTGAAATTTTTACTTGAAAGTTTAAAATGACACAGGTTAGTCAATAACTTGCTTATTTTGGTACTTTTCAAAAAAAAATTTCTTTACTGAAAGTTAGATTTAGTAGTATAAGTAAAAAAAAACTTTATATAAAACAGACATTAATAAGTGTTTCAGAAATTCTAAAGTTTGTTTTATAATAAATAAATATTTATATTACATATAGATGAAAAGAATACATTCAATTAAAAAATAATGTCATTAAGAAATAGAAACCTTGAAACAAAAAAATAATGAAACAATAAGAAATGTAAGTTGTTGTTTTTTTAATTTAAAACAGAACTAAAATTTAATTTAAAAGTTTACCAATAGAATATAAAATCTTCATATTGATAAAAAAGT